ACCGAACATGAATAAAATATGCAAGCAGACACTGTCAAAACTGCAATCAAGAAATTAACCGATACCCTCGAAACAACATGCATCATTTTCAATGTCAGCAGGCAGAATAATCCAATTTAAATGCAAAAAGTGCCCAATATAAGTGATCAGGAAAAGCAACATAATTAGCAGATATTTCACACTCGTTCATGCGCACACCATGACCGTCAAAACTGTGTCATTCATTGATACATACTGAATTATAATCCGACAGTTAAAAAAAACAAAAAAAACAATGCGCTTACCTTCGTGTCGCTCTATAATTTTACACTGACCGTCAAAACTAATCAAGTCTAGCAGTTTTCAAGGATTTATCAATCTGGACCGTTTAAAAGATAAAAGACAGGATCGTATAAACGGACAGACATAGTTTCGTTTTGATTAATTAATTCAAATGTGCTCTGATTTCGGAGTTGCAGTGATAGAGCCTCGTGTCATCTCACTCCACAATAATTCACGTTTTGAGAGTTGAGTCACTCTCCCACTCTTTAACTTATATTTAGGCATTGCGATTACTTGAATATACAGTCATACTACATTCAACATCAGATACGTTATAACTTATTACGCTAAAAACTTGTCACTCATAAATCATAATGTCTGTCTGCTGAGCCCTCGTGATAAGTGCGGCTGTCGACGTTTACATCAGCACCAGCGCCTCTGCAGTGTGTGTGTGTAGTAACGTTGTGATGACTGATTGGATGCAGTACATGCACACTTGGGCTTGTTTTTTTAAACAATTAGCCTATGCAATTTATATGTTTGAAAACCGCCAAACTGACCCCAAATCAGCCCAAATTTTGTCCACCCGCCCAAGCCAATTTTTACCCGCACAATCAAATTCAAAACCGCCCAATCTGGCAACACTGAGTACGTGTTAGGTACGTAGACATGCGCAGTATGTGTCGATTTTAAAGACAAGCGCGAACAAACATGCACAACAATGGCGGAGTACATGGTAGGCCTACTGTTGTTGCTGTTTAAGAGTTTGCGAACGCTTCTTCAGCAAAGTGTGGATTTACTTCAATATTACAACCAACAGCGGAGACGCATCATATACAACATATAATCGTCACTTCTCTCTGCGGAGACGCATCATATACACACGGCAACAGGTACTGTTTACTAACAAGGTGACCGCGCCAACTACTGGCCTGGCATACGTAATACAGCGTTTTTGGACGTTTTCACGGATATGTGTAAACGCAAATCGGTTTGAAAACGTTGCCGTGTATACGTGAAACTTTTTAAAAATGCAAGGGAAAAACTTTTCCGTGTTTGACTACATCGTTGTTGTGTAAGCGTAGCCTTAGAGGACCTTATTAGCCATGTTTCCATCCATGTATTGTCATACAAATTTTGGGATATTGCATAAACACTAGATGGAAATGGCATAAACGGTGTGCCTAAAATCTTCCAATCCTCTTAATTAAGGTTGATATTTCTTTTTATTCAGTAAGAAAACATGCACATAAACTACAATGGAAACACATTGGTGAATAAATTCCTGGTTGAGCTACAAAAAAACTCCAGTGCCTCAACAGATCATGTGACTGGACGACTGGACTAGCCAGTGGACCAATTTCATTGCACACCATCTAAATTACTGTGAGCCAGATTCTGTCATCAAAATGATTATACCTCCCAGAATTGTCTCATACAACTGCATTCCCAACGTCAGACATCAGTCTGAGGATGCAAGATAACACGACAGCATTTGTTATTGCGTTTCTTCAGAGGCGCAAGTCATTTATTATGTTGGAAAAAAGGAGTCACAGGCTTTCCCGGTTGCTGATACT